CGTTTTCTTTTGCATGAGGGTTCTGGGCAGTTGAGGCAGTTCCATATGCCTAGCTTTACTCCAGGCTGTAACAACTTGTCTTTTCTCCAGTCAGGTCTGGATTAGCTTTTGGCCTTGAGCACCATGAAGGGGCAAATCCTGGCTTTGGCAATCCTTTTCCAGAGTCAGGTTACCTTTCACTTTTTGATAAAGTCCTTTTACAGGGTTTTGATCACATTGCTCCCCTGTAATGCCATGGGATCTCAGCCTGGTTCTATTGGCCCTGCAGATGCAACCATTTGAACCCTTTGCTGATCTTAGTCACAAGGTTGCTTTTCTTATTGCTGTCTCTTCCATAAGGTTGGTTTATGCGTTGACCATGTTGTTATGTAAAGAACGCTTCCTGGTGCTACACATAGATACGGTTTTCATGAGGCCTAACGCCTCCTCTGAGTCCAAGGTGGCATTTTCCTTTCACCTCAACCAGGACATTGTCCTTCCTTCACTCTGTCCTGCTCTAAACTATCCCAAGGGAGTGCATCTCCATTGTTTGGATGTGGTGCCTGTTTCCAGCTTCCTTTCAGCAGTTGGAAACACTCCTCATCCTCCCTGAAGGCTCCGTGACTCTTGCTCCACTGCCAGGTCACTTTTCAACCATATGCTCTAAAGCATGGGTGGGCGAACTCCAGCCATCTCGCTGTGATGAAACTACAAATCCCATCATGCATCTGGGGGTCATGTCTGTGACTGTGTGTTGCAGTGCCTAATGGCATTTGCAGTTGCACCACAGCTTGAGGTCCAGAGTTTGCCTACCCCTGCTCTAAAGGATAGGGTTCATTAGCTTCTGTTTTAAGGCATACTCTTGCTAGATGCTTCATGGGCTTTTCAACATCAGGCATTGGTTTCCCAGATTTGCCAGGTCTCCACCTGCTCCTCTGTTCACACATTTAAGTTCTACTAGGTGGTTGTTCAGGCCACCTCTGATGCCAGCTTCGGCCGCAAGGTGCTTCAAGCTGCTCTGAGTTTAGGGTTCATGACCCTTTGTTCTGTGGGCCTGTTGGCACTTGATTGGTATGTTGCCCACCCCTCAGTTGTATTGCTTTGGATCTCCCAGGAATTTAAGCGTATTATACGATTTAATAAAATAGGATTTTTGACTTGATTGTAAATTTCATTTCTTGGAGTGCCATCTTCTGTTTCTGTCTTTCACTCCTATTTCTTGCTAAGAAACTAAGGTTTCTGGGAGTAAAGGTGGCCATACACTTTACAACCATCGCAAGACCTTAGTCTTGCGATGGTTGTAAAGTAATTCGATTGCGGGATTTCCCGTTATTCTCGTACGAGAATCGAGCAGTGTATGGGCACCTTTAGAGTGGTTATGTGAGGTTATTAGGGATTTGACAAGCAAGTCAAAATTTTATAGCAAATACCCGTAGTTCTCTTTTATGTAATGTTGTTCATTGCTTGGCCCTATAGGATACTTTTCCGCTGTGCCAGCCAGACGATTGGCATAAAGAGATGAAAGGTACAGTAGTTGGATCCTTTTGTTTTCAAAGAATGACTTCTGAGAAATGTATCTGTCTGCCCAGGACTTTGGTTTCTTTTTTGCGTCACCCGATCCTGGTGTTGTCAGCCTGCTATTTTCACTGGTGTGGCACTACTTTGCTACACATAGAGGGCCAACACATTCTGCCTAACAATGACCGCCTAAAATAACTTTGGCTACTAGCCAAAACTATCGCTCAAACTATTTTTCCGGTTGCAGATGGCCAGCTTGTCTCAAATGCATTGTTCTGCTCTTGAGAAGTGCTTGACACCATAAAACTGTCCTTGGAGAACAAGGGAGCTTTATGTCTGGAGGAACGTCGAGAATACCATACTTATTAAAGGGTTAGAGGACAATGTACCTAGAGGCAAGAGGTTAGGCCATAGCCAATTACTTATCTTAAGAAAGACAATACAGACATGGTATATGGGTTCCTGGAGGGCCGGCATCTAGAATATGCAGGAAACAAGAGACTAAAGCATCCCCTGCTGGTTAAAGGACATGTTCCATTCCTAAGTTCTAATACCCGTTAAAAGTAGAATTCTGTACAGCAAGTGCATAGACATTGGACACTTGTGTACATGTAAGGTCTTATTTTCAAAGGCATTAAAAAAAACGTGTATAATCACACAAGAAAACCAGAGCTTGTTTTATTATGATAAGTTTAACAAAAGATTGTTTGTGTCTGTAGCCAAAACTTTTATTTAGTTTTGGATAGTGTAGGGAAGGGTTAAAACCCCTGCCAGGTTATTTTTTTCTGTATGTGTACCATTAGGTCACAGAGATACAACAGGAAGCTTAGAGGAAATCTCCCAACGTGATTAGAATTGATTAGAATTTCCTTTTGTGGAGAGTTGTCCTTGGAAAAGGTGTTTTCATTGGAAGATTTTGTTCTGGAAACTCTAAAATGTATTTTCCTTCACTTTATTTCTAGATGACAATGGTTACCAGAGTTTTTTTCCCCCCAGTAGGGACAACATTAAAAACTTGACAGATGGTTTAGCCCTTCGCCACTCTATCCAAAAATAAAAAATAAATTTGCCTTGTGATCACTTGCTTTGTGGAACCGCGTTTGGCACATTACTCTTTTACAAAATGAAATGCAAGCTAACAGGTTTATTCACAAAAAGAGTAGAGTAGAGTTTGGAGAAGGCAGGAGAAATGGACAATCTAGGACAACATAAGCTGAACTGGAAAATGAGCTGAATTGGAGATTTTTTTTCCAAATCTGCTATTTTGGCTTAGATTGTTCACTTTTCCTGCCTTCTCCAAACTTCACCCTTTTGTGAATAATCCTGTAAATGGGTTTTTTTTAATGATCTAAATGCTTATCTTTATTCTTATGGTATAACTCTTCCTAAACTCACCAACACTTGGTAATAGAGGGTCCAAGCATTTGTATATGGATACCTCAATTTGTTTTGTCAAAACTTGACCAGTGAATAGAGTAAAAGATCATTTTCAGTGGGGGAAAAAAAAGCATAACCTCTATAGGAGACAAATGTAAACAAAATGTGTGTCTTTAGTTGAATGCAGAGTGACTGTGCATTCAAAAATTCCTATACTCAGCGCCATTGAGGGGTGTTGCTGCTGTTGAAACGACATCCGTCCAGCTATATGCCAGCGGACGTCTTGTACAAAAAGACCCAATTTTGTTGTATTTACAGGGAAATGTCTCTTTGAGAAGCAGAAAAGGGACATCTAGTAATAACTTAAATTAAAACAGAAATTTAGTTTTAAATGTGAAAAAGCATATTTTTTGTAGCATCGAGTGACCGCAGTAATTACAAGTACATGTATTTCTACTTATTTTCATCTTTAGGTTCAGATACCTTACAAAAGCAAGGATGTCCAAGTCTCTGCAAGTTACACTCTGTTGGGTTTTTTTTGCCTTTATGTAAATCCAGCTAATAGTCTTTTTTTTTCCAGTGAAAAACTGGATGAGGTTTTTGCGTCCGTACGAAAGTTAGCGTCACTGTGATTAGTAATAGACACCTAGTGATTTTAAAGTCTTGTTCTTTTTATTAATCTACCTGATGTCACACAAAAAGTTTTATCTTGTAGTAAAAAATACTGACATTTATATGCAGTCAGAAATGTAGACCAGCATATCTGACGTTTTATTGTTTCAATTTGTTTTTCAGTTTTGTCATGACAATTGTTCGTTGCAGTGTGACATATGATCCAATATTTGTTAAAAGCCCCAGAGGGTGGTGGGAAGAGTATGACCTCTGGGGAGGTTACTTTATAACAGTATGATGGTTTGTAATTGAATAACAAGCTCATCTCTTGTAGGAAGAGGATCTACGCAGAATCTTCATGTTAACGATAGAAGTTCTACAAGAATTTAGCCGGCGGGAGAACCTCAGTGCTCAGATGTCCTCTGTATTCCAGCGCTACCTTGCACTAGCCAATCAAGTTTTAAGCTGGAATTTTCTTCCTCCAAATTATATCCTTTTCATTGTATTTTTTTTTAATGGCTTTCACAGCTAGTCTGGGAAATGTGTTGATTGCCTGTAAGTTATGACGATGCAACGTCTTACAAGTTGGATGTATTACTGTATTTTGTCTGCATTGACTTGAAAGGCATATTTGTAATATATGTAACTTTTGAGACTTCCTCTAGTTGTCATTGGAGCTGGTTCCTAAAATCCTGATAAATCCTGAATTGGACAGACAGGCTCCTAAATTCCATATTGACTTGTCCAACCCTGGTTTAACCATTTTTTTTTTGCAAGAGGAAATTACATTAATCTTAAAGTTTGCATTTTCAAGTATAATTAAAGCCATTTTTAATTTTTGGATAGAGTGGAAAGGAGATGGAGCCACTGTCATTGTTTCCCTATCAGGGAGATTCACGCTCTGTAATTGTTTTGATCACCATTGCCGCCAGGAAAGAAAATGAGGGTAAATCCAAACTTTTTAGTTACCGCCGCAACAGGAATAGAGGGGAAATCTTGCAGTAGGGGGACACTTGTTCCCGTGACACCTTTCTAAGAGGATTTGCCTCACACTGGTAAGATATCCGCTCACTTTCCCATTGAGTCCACATTAAATATACTGTAAGTGGCCATGTGTAGATGGGTCATAAAATAATTTGTTTAAAAAGCCTTCCCTTTCAATAAAAAAAAAAAAATCAGATTCAAAATTCTATTCACCTGAAATTGCAATTAACCACAGGTTAGCAGGGGACTAAATCACAAAGTCTAAAACACAAATCAATCTTGTACACTTAAGCTTATGTTTTGGATCTAAATCCAGTCTTTGTCAAACCTTGACATATGGACATGGCTGACAGAGTTGTGACTATTGCATGGGGCTGGTATTTGAGCAAGGGTGTGATCCATTCTGTATTCACAATTGTGTGTATTATTTCATTGAAATAATTGAAACCAAGACAGAGTTCTCTGGGCCCCATCCTCTAAATGTACATCGATTATTCTGTAGGAGTCTATATTACTAACTTTACACGGGGTAAGTGACTTTTCTTTATGGAAGAATCTGGCAAAGTAGTAGTAGTTACTCTTATAATAAAGATGGCTATTTTGCAATACAAAGCAAATTGGGTCAACAAAATTCTGTCCCAGGAATTTTCTTTAATTCTTTAAAATATGGCTTAAAACATGGCATGTAATGTAGAGTACCCTTACACAAGCTATATACCAAAAACTGATCTAGAAAAGCGTGTGAAGTAATTGTTTTATAGTTTCAATACAGTTCTGTTGTACTTCCAGTTCCCTTTTATACCCATCCGTTTATTTTATGGGGGGGCAATAAAAAAAAAGATGTCCGAGGAAATTAGATGAGTGAACAGGCTGATGAAAGTGTGTAATGAAAATGCCTTCGGTGTTCAGTGATATACTGAGGCAAATGTGCAGGATTATGTGAATGCCCAGTTTGAGTAGAGTACAGTGTTCCATACGACCTGCATTATTGTTCTAGTAGTTGTCATTACAGGATCCCTTTGCTTGGCCCCCTCCTGTGTCACATGTTTATAAGATGTGACTTTCATACCTCTAGTATAAATAAATCTGGGTATTGTATTACTTTTGTCTCTGCAAAGCCCTTTTGATATTATTGTGTTTCAACATCCTTTGGAGTCCTTTTGGCAGACCTCATTGTAGTTGAGCAAAGGACAATACGCTATAGGAATGTGGCAACCAACATAACACTCCTTTTAAAGTGAAGTTTGGTCAGTCCACATTAGCAGGGCAGTGTTAAAGGAACTGTGTCTGTCATGAGCATAGAACATCTCGCTTTACCACCCACCCTTTTCCATCAGCATCCGCCCCACCAGTAGTCTTGGGGATAGGGGAAGATAATACGGCTTTATTATTTAGTTACCGGAATGATTACATGTTCTCTTCTCTAAGCATGTCTACCTACGAGCTAAATGTCAGCATGTGAAAGGCCAGTTTGAGGGAATTTATCAAAAAAAAGGGGGTGCAGTGAATGGAGAAAAATGTAATTGCAACAGGTTTTAAGTTGGGTTGTTATCTTGGTTGGGGTTTCAGAACTAATAGACTTCCCCAGGAGCAGCAAGCACATGTGGCAGGGAGCACTTTGTCTGGTTTTGGAGTTTACCTGTTCAGCTCATTTATCAGCCTTCTGATTTCAAAAATAAGTTGTAATTAATGTAGTAAGTCACTGTGTCAGAAGCTGTAAAATGGTTTGTATTTACACTGGAGCATACATTTAAATCGCTTTTCGTTTTGCTTGGCATTCTTCATTACCCCATTCAGCTGTCACACCTGTACAACTCATAAGGGCCAGGCTAATTTTTACATTTCTGCTTTGGACCTATTTGTTCAGCGCTAACTTTGTCATTACTTGTGATAACAAAGGAGGTTTTTTTTAGGGAAAACAAGGCTTGCTTTTGTTTATATTGTTTTGCAAAATGATTACATTTTCTATATCATGCATATACACAGAATTTAAAAAAATTCATTTTTTTTCAACTTCAATTAAAAAAAAAAAAAAATAGACACAAATTATGATTCTGTTACAAAAAATAAAATGAAAAAGCAATTTTTTTTAATGCAACACAAAATAACCAATAAGGCTAAGGCAAACAAAAACTAGATTAAAAAATAGAAATCAAATCCGCAGGAAAAAATAGCTAAGGTGTCAGGGCTCATTAGAGGTAAACCAAGGCTTAATAATGGTCAAATGGGAGCACATTTGTTTTTTAAATGTTTGTTTTTTTGATGTCGCTTTAACTAACAACGTATGCAGATAAAAGGTCACCCCTTTGATCTGCGGATGAGTGGAACAGAGTACATACAAAGTAACAATTCATTTTTTCTCTTTATTTTTAGTTTGTTTTCCTGTTAATAACACACTTAACACTCACTCCTCCCACTGTGTCTATGGATGGAATCATGGTTGTTTCCCCGGTTAATCATCAAACATGGCTGACTTTTTCATCTGAATTAGATAGGGAGGTAATGAGATTCTGTAGTCTACACAAATTAAAGATTATTTTATGATTCTTCGGAAGTGACATACACTAGACAGTCAATGGGTGTCTTCTATAATTGCTAAAATTGCTCTTTTAAAAAACTAAAGGAGCCACTACAGCTAAGGACTGGTAAGCTGCAATATATTTTTTCCTCGGGTTTAAATTTACTTTTAAAGAATTTAAGAACTACAGATTCTAGAATCTCTGTAAGGTTAATGTTTGAAGTCTGCACATACCTTGATACTATTGATCCAAAGATCTTCATCATGAAAGTTGTGGTGCAGCCAAACCCTGACTTTCTGTGTCCAGCCAGAATGGGTGGTCAGCCCTATGGAAGCCTCTCTAGAAGCTATTGATGGCTTCCTGATTGTAGAGTGGGATGCAATTGTTTCCATCTCTGCAGCTTTTAGGTGAGAGCTCTCCAGATCAACAGTTTAGTGTACAGCTACCTAACCCAAAGGTCTCAAAGTCTTGAATTGTTGTCTTAATAGAAAAGGCCAGCTCATATTCCCTTTGTAGAGATGCAGTGTTTGTGTGCGTGTGCATCACAAAATACTGCGTTTTTGCAAAGGACACATCTATGACAAAATGTGATTCAAATTCAGGCGCAGAGTGACCTCAGCCTTGGGGTACAGTAATAAAGATGCTTCTGTGTTGAGCATTTTACAGTCCAGTAGTCCATATTTAATAAAATTCAAGCTTCTACTTGCTATAGTAGAGTAAATTCAAAGTCACATGCCGACATTGTCCTTACTCTTGTTTTAGACTACATATATAATCTATAGGGTTTTTAGGAGCTCAAGCACTTGAGTTTTACATCCATTTGTGTGCCCTGGCTGTCATCCCCTTGTTACCACACATCTATAAATACACAAATATTACTTCCTTTCTTATCTTCTCTGCTTCTTCACGAACTGGTTAGAGTTGAGCAAACACGACGAACTTTCTACTGAAATCTACACCACTGTGTATGTGCTGTCCCTTTGCTTTTCTAAGTGGAGATTAATGATGAACTATAAAAAAAAAAAAAAATCTGTTTTCCTAAGTTGCAGCACCTGTTCTCTGTGGCTGCTGTTTCCCCTCTTACTCCTGTCACATTAGCCCGCTGCTTATCAAAGTGATGGTGCTGCCGTGGCATGTTACATTGTAATGATCAAACTGTTATCTAGCATTCCACAAGCATTCTTCTTTTTCAGGGTCTAATAACTTTTATTCCTTGGCCTCATGTGTGAATTATGCAGTGTATGCGAAGAGGCTTACATTTTGTTTCCATTATTCTTTGATGGAAGCTGGGGCTCCTAAACTTTTCCTTCGCTTCCCCCTTCTTTAAAGGCTTGCAGGAATGTTATTGTTGACCTTGACACCAGATAACTGGGCAGACATTATATAGCTATGTTTGAATCCTCCCAAAATGTGATGCTGAAGCCAACTGAGTCCTGGCGTGAAACCCTTCTTGACAGCAGAGTCATGGAGCTGTTCTTTACAGTAAGTCCTACATTTCTTTACTTGGTTCATGAAGTTTGTGTGAGTGACGGTGCCGTTTTCCTAGATGACCATGTCTTTTAGTGGCTTTAGTAATCAAATGTACACTTTTTTAATCTACATTAACAAGCTTAAACTTCTTTTTTTTTCTTAGTTAGAACGAATACCTAGAGGCATTGTTGTTCTTGTTTGGTAGTCTCTGTAAAGACTTGAAGTATGCAATTAAACAATGCTTGCATTTGAGATAGATATACACATACATACATATAAATATACAGTATATATATAATTAATCTGTGTGTGTATGTGTATGTATGTGTATGTATATATATATATATATACACATACACACACCATACCATACTTGGAAACCCTTGAGATGTGCTTGCTCGTTGCTTATCACTGCAGAAAATCCAGAATCATTCTTATCTAAAAGCATGCCAGGAATATGTTTTGTATGTTGCTCGTTGTGTGCAGCAGTTCTGCGTCTGGAGATGTGTAGCCGGATTTATTAGTCACTTGAGGACAGTTGAGGTTTCCAGCAGCAGAAAGGAAAAAAACGTGAGCGGTTATATAGTAACCATGAAATGATATTGTTGAAAAGTATTTGAAAGTTTTAGCCTTTTTTCCCTTCTATTATAACTGGCATTTGGCTCTACCTCTCCCGATGTGCCAGTATTGCAGCCGCTGTCGCATCTTCTATAGATGCCGTTAGAGACTGCATCAGTCTGGTGTTTTCAGTCACTCAGATCCTGCCTGCTAGACTTGTATTGACACGGCAAGACACAACCATTTAGTAAAACAAATTACAAAAAAAACCTATTTCATGCAAGGGTTTGAAATATAAAAACATACAACAAAATGTAAAAAAGTAAAACACTGTGTAGCTGTAGTTTTCTGCCTTTTAATTAGGGAAATACCATTAGAAGCCTGCCTGTATTTTGATTTTGCTAATAAAAATAAAGTAGAAAAGGGATAGCAAGTTTCTATTGCATGCTTTTAGGCTTTTATACAAATATAAAATCCAGTTACTTGTGTGTTTTGGAGATTCCGTTTTAGGTGATCAGACTGAACTAAATGTAATACACACAAGCATTTTTTGTCTCTAAAAAGCATTTTTATATTATTGTGTGGAAATTATTACAGAAGTATGTACTTGATACACTGTAGTTTTTATTGATATAAACATGTTTTAAGTTTTTGTTTTTTTGTAATTTTTTACTGTTGCGTCTCTGAGCTACCTGGGCATTCATAAGTAATGAATGTAAGGTATTGTTCACACGTTTTGTTTTTTTTCTATCAATTGTTTTTATATTTTAAGTATTATTTTTTTTACTGTTTAGTGGTTTTAAGCTTACCCCACATGTTACAATCTGATTGTACCATCTCCTTTAGGTCTACCAACGACTATGTAGTGCATGGGCTAGCCTGATTGGATACAGATTGATTGGATACGCTTCATAGGTCCTCATATTACATAGTTTTGGTAAATCTGGAGTTGATTGTACAAAGATTGTACAGTCGGAGTACGGTGAGCTTTAAGGTAATTTAGGTGCAGCAGTTCTTTTGAATAAATATAACATAATGGAGATATTTGGTAAATATTGTTTACATCTATTGACATTAGCTACATAGTGAGTGTTCGAGCAGTATTTAAACCTTGTTTAACATGTTAAACAATTTGATTGTAAATTTTTACTATAAAAGGATTTGTAAAGAAAAGAGTCCTCACTGGTTTTCGGACAGTTATTGCCTCCAGCCAGGGTATCTTAAGTGTGATGGCAATGGTCCAGCTCTTTTTCTGCATTCTTAATGGATGCTGATGCTTTTTTAGGCCTAGTACCTGCATTTTGTTTACAGTATTTTAACTAAAATGATTTATGAATTTTAATACAGGGTGTTGCTTTTCCCTAGATACCGCATGCACAAGCTATTTAAAAATGCATGTAGAGTATGCTTGAATTTTGAAAGAGGAACTGTAAATAAACATTGAGAGATTAATCTTGAGTGCTGACTTGTTTTACACCAAATTAGTTTTTGAATTGGTGATATACTAAAGTTTTGCAACAGATTATTTAGAACCATGTACAAATTATTAAAAATATACCAATCAAGTAAATCTCGCAGTATATTTAATTTTTTTGCTTTAAGAAATGTTGCATTCATTTCTATAATTCTATCATTCTCTGTAATGCATTTGTATTAAAAAAATGTTTATCCAATTGAAATAGTCTAGGCAGTTTAGTTAATGCTCCAAAAACTGTTTGGATTTGAAATAGTTGTCATTTCAGTGAAGTTATTCTGAATTTCTTTAACATATTCTTATACATGTAATCATTTTTTTTCTAATTTTTGTCCTGTAATTTCAGTATTTAGCAACAGTTCCCTGTATGATGACTTAACCATGTGAAATCTGTGACCAATAAATGGTACCAGAGTATCTTACGTCTGTTATACAAGTGTGTATGTTAGGTCAGCTGCCCTGACAGAGGAAATTGTATATGGTCACATTATATGCATAACTTTGGTGCATTTTTATATTTTAATGTACAAATAAAAATGTAACTAAGTTACAATATGGGGCAGTTGTTTTTTGGGGGGTCAAGTTTTATTTGGCAATTTTAGTTACCTTAAGTGTGTAAATTCTACATGTGTCTTTATACAGATAGCACTACTTGCATTGTAAAGTTTTTTTCTACCCAAAACAAGAAGAGGAATTGTCATTAAACCAATTTTTGTTACATGGAGCTTTTCCCAATAAGAGGGTCTGTCTTTAATTTGACTTGTACAAATAATATTCACTCCTACATTCCCAATATTGCGCTTTTATGATATTGTACAAGTCTTAGCTGTTAACAAGAAAATTGTAGGACCCCATCCACTTGAGTTTTAAACAAGCACAATAATTACATTTGTCATTTGGCTGAGTTTAATTAACATGTTGACACCCTGGGCAGCGGCAATTATAATAAAAGTATTTTTCATAAATCTCAAATCTGGGTTAAAAGGTTTTAAAAAAACCAAAATTACTTTTCAATCTTTGAAGACTCTGCTAAAGATCTCTACACCTGGCTTCCCAAGTTGGCCTCCTGCCTTGGCCAGTAAGGTATCTGTTGGCGGCTGTTCATCCATTCACATTTCCTCTGCCTCACAGCTTTAGTGGCCTTCCTAGATATCCCCACAACTATATATTCTAACTCCCCTGCATCCACAGCCACATATAAAAATCTCAGTATAATTACCAGTATACGGAAATGTAAAATACATTGTAAACATGTTGGTAACAGTTATCTTTTAATTAGCATCAGCATCCTGGCTATTAACTTTCTCAGACATGGTGCTCCATACCATCAAAATTAGAAATACACACCCTGCTTTTGGGTCTCCCTAACATTTTGGAATCAGTTGGCATGGTACCTGATCATTTGATTGCCATGACAAACAATCGTGGTGATTGCAGACTGGCTGGACATTAATTTACAAAATATACCTCTGCAGCCTGAAGTTGACAGTGTCCGTTTTTAATTTATTGTCAGATACAATTACAGTATTTTATCGAAATTACTAAAATTAAGAAAGTTTTCAAGGTTTTTTTCCATTTGTCAGCCAATAATAAAACATGTGAACAAGGTAATTTTAAAACCATATACAGAATAAAACCCTAATGTCTTTAAAAAAATATATTATGGAGGACAGATTAGTCATAGTTATCCAGCAAGTTAATGCATTCTAGTACTGCTAAATTTGGCCTGGGTTTCAATGACCTCTGCTTATGGAAGGAGTTAAGCAAGACCTTGTAGCATCTTGGCAAATTTTAGTGGTTCAACTGTTCTTGGTACATTGGAAATTAAGCACCAAACCCTTTCTCTTTTACGGTAATGCTGTCCTGTTGCTAAACACTATACTGTGTGCCTGGATATAAGCAAAATATCTACTCCACTTTGATCTGCCTTAGTAGGTAGTTTGTGGCTGTTTCTAAGCATTAATATGACTTCAGTTAAGCTTGAATTCCTATTTTGTCACACAAATGTATTTGTTCACCTGACTCCTTCCATCTTTTTCTGTGGGGCATACCTATAATGTAGCAAATGATTTTCTGTTTTTTTTTTCCTACTGATTCTTTTGGCACACATCTGGTACATGCCCCACATAAAGGACATTTGCCTTACTTGCTTCACATTTTCCCCATCAATTCAGATTTGCTAACTATTACCCAACATCTGGATTTCCCTTTCTTTGTGTGATCCAGGTCTCACTGTCACCAGCACCAATCACTCCTTTCAAGTGGCAGATCATGCATTTTATATAGCACGTGACAATTTTGGGCAAGCGGTGTTCTGTAAAGGTAGCTTTTGATGATAAATTTTGTCACAACCATTAGAACTGTACATTTTGGCAGCTGAAACTATATTCTGTAGAAGGTGAGCTTGGCCCCACCACATCTTAAACCTGCCTTTTGGTCCTTAATGTGATGGGAGGTCCATTTCAGTCTTCAATTATTACCCACCCACCCCTCCTTTTAAAGACCTTTTTTTTTAAATCATACTTCAGTATCTTTACCCTCCTATTTGGTGAAGAGGAAATTCCTCCAACTATTTTTACCATTGCTTCATTAACTTTCTATTACTGGAATGAACCTGCGCACACACAAAATCCTAAAACTCCAAAATAATGTAGTGGGATAAATGCCGCTTTATGTCAGTGACCTGTGGAGAGTCCCTTTTCAACCATTTGCTCAATATCGCATTCAGGGCTGCCAAAATTGAAAGTACTATTAGAGCTTCATCTGGACCTTGAATCAAATTTCTAAAAATTTTTTTTTGGAAGGATAGTGTGAGTTGTTGAGCCAGATTCCCAAGCCATGCTCCTATTTCACACCAAAACTTCCTAATCTTGCCACATATAACATGCGGTTTAAATTTGTGGAAGATGAACCAGATTTCAAGCACCTATTATCCCTCCTATTATATATCATATTGTATCTGTCAATAGAAATATATATA